CAAAAGTACTAAGAACACAACCATCATCTATTCTATCATATACAAAAATCTTTAAAGATGATTGCTAAGTATATTTGAAGTGATTACATTTGACTTAAGTAATAATAAAAGATCCTAAAATGAAGAATTTAACACAACTTCATCTTCAATTCTCCAAATAGTTTTACTATCAGGAATACCAAAAAAGCCTTGATTCAAATGATAAAATAAATAGGTAGTACAATATAATAGAAATTTCAACGCAAAAACAAAGTAATTCTCCAGCATAGAAAAACCATGGAATAAACTGAGAAATAGTAGACAGGGTCAAATTCTATTTTGTATTTCTGATATTTTTAAAATCCTTACTAATCAAGGGAGGAAAGCCCTCAAAAAAGTACTTTAAGCTAAAGCACATCTTTCTACTCCAAAAGTTGCAAAATATAGAAAGCTCACAGACACTAAATTTTTTTCTCTGAGCACCTACTTTCGTCAAGCTGTCTGGAGGAACATCTTTGTGACTAACTGTGGCTGATGAGTAGTTCTGCTGTCCTGAAATGAATATACCATCTTGACAAGGATCTGTTGGACTGGATGTCTGGGGATGCTTCAAATGAGCAGGAAATAAAAAGTAAACAAATAATGTTCTTTAAGATATGAAACCAAAATGATGACACTTGAGAGATTAGGACAAAATATTGCCAAATAGTGCAAAGATGAAAACTCAAATCAATGCCATCATCACTGTCATCAATTAGTATCTTTCACTTCTTCCAAAGGTACACAGCAAGATGTTTCTTTTTGTATGTATGAAAAGCTTATATGAAAATAGATTGTTAATCTATTTATGTGCAATACACACACATAGAAGACAAATTCTTCTGCTTGTTCTTTTTTCCTTTTAGAGTTTTATTTACAGTAATACCTAGCTTATGCCACCTTTGAGCAATACATGTAGTTATTAATTAATCAAAGTTTAGAGTCTCAAATGTCAAGACCAACTAAAACACACTTGTGTTGAGCATTATAAAAAGATTTTTGGTAAAAAAAAAAAAAATTAACTGCTGTTCTTCTAACAGAAGAGTAAAACATGGTATATTTTTCACCCCTAAATTTTAATGATGAGCAGAACCAATACACTTACAGTCTTGTAAGATTTGCTTTATTGGGATAAGATTAGGGTGTGAAATTAATATAAATTTGCTTTTGCTTAATTCTGCCACACTGATATTGGTTCAATAGTTCCAAAGTACTGATTTGGAGAAATGCTATTAAAACCAATTAACTGATTAATATCTTTATAGGCCAAATAATATCCCTGTATTATACTTTACCAAACTAGGGAAAAAAAAGACTCAATCTCATTATCCCTGAATCAATCTTTCTTTTTTTGAAAACAGAGTCTCACTCTGTCACCCAGGCTGCAGTGCAGTGGTGTGATCACGGCTCACTGCAACCCTGACCTCCTGAATTCAAGCAATCCTTCCACCCCAGTCTCCTGAGTAGCTGGGATCATAGGGGTGGTGTTAACATGCCTGGCTAATTTTCTCATTTTTTGGAGGGGTCAGAGACAGGGTCTCCCAACATTGCCCAGGCTGATCTCACATTCCTGGGCTCAAGTGACCCTCCTGCCTTGGCCTCCCAAAGTGCTGGGATTACAGGTGTGAGCCACTGCACAGAGCCTCTGAGTATTTCTTATTATAAATATGCCAGGAAGCAAGACACATATATTTCTCAGTTCAATTTTAGTTCTAAACATCCCGATGCATTTTAGAAGACAAAACAGATTGTGATAAATAGCACTACTGTTACTTTCAAAACAATTTACAGCTAGCAACAAAGAAATGCAAACTACATTATATTGAAAAAATAATCTAAAATCTACTTTATGATACATTACAGTACACATATAAAGGATCTCTAATTTAATCATAGAAATTATATCTCCAACAGATCTATCATATGCAGTTAGTTCAAACCATGGCTTAGAATTTTTAGATGTGCTTTGATCTAATTTTGTGTATTTATGCAATGAATACTTTTATTTTCCTTCTCCCTTTTTGAGATGTGCTTTTAGAATACATAATAATGAATTTAGCTCTAGCTTAAAATTTAAAGTCAAGTGTGAATGTATGTTTATCTACTCTTTTAAAGAACAAGTATACCATGAAGGAAAAAGTAAAATTCAATGGACTCAAAGGCTCTGAATTAAAAAAAAACAAAACAAGCACAAAATGTTACTATAAAAGGATCTGGAAAATACGATTGTTCCAGGTGAGATAAATGGTAAAGATTACCCTTGAGTTAATAAAAGCCACTGATCTTTACCCCCATGGACTCCTGGAATGAGGAACTGATAATTATCACCCTTCTCTCACATATTTTAAATTGGGTGGTTCCTGGCTGGGCACAGTGGCTCACGCCTGTAATCCCAGTGCTTTGCGAAACTGAGGCAGGCAGATCATCTGAGGTCAGGAGTTCGAGACCAGTGTGGTCAATGTGGTGAAACCCCACCTCTACTAAAAATACAAAAATTAGCCAGGTGTGGTGGCAGGTGCCAGTAACCCCAGCTACTTGGGAGGATGAGGCAGGAGAATCACTTGAACTTGGAAAGTAGAGGTTGCAGTGAGCGGTGATCGCGCCATTGCACTCCAGCCTGGGCAACAAGAACGAAACTCCATCTCTAAATAAACAAATAACATAAAATAAATTGGGAGATTCCACCATGACTGCTGCCACTCTAATAGCATAGGAATTACATGGTGGCAAGTGACAAAGGACAGGGTATAGGTCAGGTACAGCCAGAGCAAAGATAATCCAGGAGATTGCTCCTAATCTAGAACATCACAGAGCAAAGCGAGGGATATATTAAAATGGGAGATACCACAACTCAGGTAAGAGTGAAGAACCCAGAAGTAAGCAAAGAATTCACATGGAAACTATGAGGAAGAGACAAAATAGGGTTATTAGACATAAAAAAGTCTTTTCAGAATTGAAGGAGAAGGGAAGATGAAAACATTTTAGAGACCATGCTACCACTTCAAGTTGTTATGGGAAAAAAATGTTAAAACAGGGCCATGCCAGAGCTGTTCTTTCTCTTTCTCTGCCTTTTTATCCCCCCCCGACACTTAATTTTGGTTAAAATAATAAATCTTTCTTCTTCACTACTAAGGAAATATGGTAAAAAGTGAGCAAGAAAGGACTGGTGTTTTGTCTTTTCATTGATACTTATTACAATTTCTACAGCCTCACAGTTAATCATGCTCAGTGAATTATGATTAACCTTAGTTCAGGGTAGTGCTTTTTCTCAGTCAATTTTCAATCGCTGGAATTAAAACTTTTCCTCCCTATTAACAGCTCTCTGAACTACATATAGCTTAGCCTTAAAGTCTTTAGTTAGGAATAGAAAATTTTAATATTAAAAGGAAAAATACTAAAAACGATAGTTTTTAAAAATCTCTCAGTTATTCCTATTGTTCACTGCTTTTTGCATAAACAAGAGCTAACTATATCATTATTTTATGACCAAAGAAACTCAAGAGATAATGACTATATCAGCTTTGAAGAATGATTTAGAACTAAGCCATGGAAGAACTCAGAGGAAATCAAGGTTTCTGCTCTAACCCAGAAACATTAAAACACTTAAAATTTTGGGTTTTCTCTTCTACAAGCTAAAAGTATTGGTCTAATGTAGGTACTCACTCGAAAACTGTGCCCACCAGAACCTCTTCCGTCTGCAATACTCAAGGCAAGACTGCCCTGGCTGCCATGCAGATCCCTAGAGCTGCCATAGTGAAAACTGCTTACAGCAGTAAAATTGGAATTAAAGGACCTTGACAGCATGCTCTGAATAAAGAGGGGACAGAGTTAACAGAGATTAGTGTAGCATGCAAAATCCACAAGACATGTTATATACGTAGACTTATTCACAAGTAACCCCAAAACCAGAGAAGTATCATGCAACACTAAATTTTCAGAGCCACTGAGAGAAACTGGAACCATTTACCATGTATTTACATGACAACATACACATATACACAAATGACATGTAAATATAACCACATGTTTAAGCAAAGGAGGAAAATACAGACATAACTGCTTTTAGAAGGCTATTTCCTTTACTCCTAACACATCTTATATATGTCAAAAAAATAGGAATTGACACCATATGCAATGTATGTGTATCTAAAGTCATACACAGAACATAAACTAATTTCTCTATCTAAAGATACATTTTACCAACAACCAGTAATTTTAAGTCAAATGAATTTTTAGAGATTCTATTTCTTTATGAAAATTCTAACATATTAAGCTGAGCATTTAAATATACATACCACAGCAGAAAATGTATTTGTAAAAATACCATTTCAATTTCTTCTTTAAGAGGTAGACTCCCAGTCTGGAGTACAACAGCATGCTCCTGGTTCACTACAGCCTCAAACTCCTGGGATCAAATGATCTTGCCTCAGCCTCCTGAGTAGGGAGGACTATAAGTCCTCACCACCACACCCAGCTTATTATTATTTTTGTAGAGACGAAGTGTCACTACACTTGCCCAGGGTGGTCTCAAACTCCTGCCTTTAAGAAATCCTTTTGCCTCAGTCTCCTAAATTGCTGGGATTATAGGTGTGAGCCACTGTGCCTGACCACATTTCAATTTCTAAAAATTATCTTCCACATTTAGAAAAATATCTTGCAATAGAAAATAGTTTTAACATACACAAATTTATGATATACCCTTTTTTATTTTATTTTTTAAAGAGACAAGGGTCTTGCTATGTTGCCCAAGCTGGCCTCAAATTCCTGGGCTCAAGCCATTCTCTTGCCTCAGCCTCCTGAGTAGCTGGAACCATGGGTGTGCACCACCATGCTTGGATAACTTTATTTTTCAGTGGAGACAAGGTCTCACCACAATGCCCAGGCTGGTGGATCTAACTTTTAAAATGCTCCTGCTGCTCTACAATTACAAGAAGAAAATGAGAAAATGTGTGGCAAATTTTCCCCATTCAAATAAACTGGTATTAAAGATCACTGTATTTTAGGAGTTGGTGGCCTTTGCTGCTTAAATTTGAAGAGCCATTGATGGAAACCTCTCACAAACTGAGTCCATATGAATACCTAACTGCTAATCCCAGAACTGCCTGAAATGCACTGCCTGATTCCCACTGTTCCACTTGTTTATTCCCAGTTTCCTGAACTGCTGTTCTTTCATGTGAGTGCTTTAAGTCATGTTCCTGAGTACTGAGGGCTTAATGGTCAAACTGGAGAAACCACATTTTGAGCATGACTTGTTATTAAGAAATACAGAAATATCGTAACAAGCATTTCTGTATTACTCTTAGCAAGTATATTCCTTCTCAAAATTTTGAAGTTGACATCCAATACCAAGAAACATTACAGGATTCCAGAAAGGAAAGGATCTATAAAACTACCACGTATACTTCCAATTATTCTGTGAATTTTAAGTAATGACTAAATAAAAAGCTGAACTTATAGCCCAGATCTGCATTTTCCCAAATCACTTCAACAAAGATAATGATTTAGCAGAGGCAATTTGGAGGCTTCATAAACATTTGATTGGAATAAAAAAGAAAATCATTCATACATACATACATAACAGACACACACATTTGTAATCCAGAGAGCTTTAATGTGTTATTGACTCAAGTGGCCTGATTAACCCTTTTAATGATATACAGATCTTGCAGAAAAGCTTTCTCTGTCATCTCCAAACATATGAACTTACGATAAATATTTCACTAGCAAGTAAGGGTGAAGCTCAAAACAGGTCTGGCTTTAAATTCAGGTTTGTACACAGACATCTATATAAAACTGCTCCCTGTCATAACACTTTGTGCAGAGCTCAATTAAATGCTAGGCATAATGTCCTGAACGTTGTTCATTACATACTGATAGTTGTATAATAAAAAGTTAATGTAACACTTACCATGTTGTGTTAATCATATTATCTGAATTCTCATAAAGAGTATTAGTAAATGCTGATAGTAACCATTCAACTTTGAAATAAAAAGTTCTTACTCCTTTTCAAATTTTGCTTATTAGTTTAATTAAATTAATTTTGAGATTTTTCAAGGTGACATCTACTTTCTATTTTTGGGTTCCAGATACAGTTTTGCTTTTTTTTGTTTTGTTTTTGGCAGTGGGAGATAAGAGGGGTGACTATTAAAAGGTCTAAAACCTAAGCTTCAACAGATTACCTCCTTATTACTCTCAGCTGAGCAAAGTAGCTTTTAATTTTGGGACTTATCTCATGAGGTAGGGCAGGTATTGCCAAAGTCCCCAGGGAAAATCTGTAAATGTCTACTTAGCCATCAGAATTAAAATGGTGGGTGTAAAGGAGTGAATAGAGATTCTCCATCATCTTCTACCACTTTGAACCAATGCTTTGAAGTTTGGAGTCTAAATCTTGCTGCTATTAAACTAGTTAATTAGTAAATATATATATATATGTAGCACATACAATATGCTTATAATACCCATACATTTTGACTACATTATCTAATGCCTAAGAGCATGAATGTAGCACAAAGTAGCTTCTATAAATAAAACAGGGACAATTTTCAGAACCACATTACATGATATTAGAATTTTTTGAACATATGAAAAGAAGTATCCCCACACTATAGACTTACAGAAAGAGTTAATTTTCACTGGCAAATTATTCAAATTATGCTTCATTAAGGATTATTCTTATTGAATAAAGTTATTTTTAGGTGAATGGGGTAGAATCATGTTAAACCACTCTCAGACAACTCAAAAGAACCATATCTAACATTATATAATCTAAAGTACTATATCTGCACAGGAAATAACAGTGGCTTCACTTTAGTCAACTTGAAATTTTTCTGACCAGCTTTTAAGAGTTGTTCCCTCTGCTTCACAGAGCATATAGATCATCCTGGGAAAATTACTTAATTATTCTGTGCCTAAATTTCCTTATTGCAAAATGGGATAATAAATAAATGATGCTGGTTCACATACAAAGTAAAACACACATACACACAGGTCAAAATCAATCTTTGAAAATCTCTGAAACCACTCAGAATATACAGTTTTATTTATAGACCCCATATAGTAAAGTTTGAAAACCATTGACCTAGAAGAACAAAGGTAAAATCTAGGTACAAGTTAGTTATTCAAACCATCCTGCCTTAAAATAATAAATTTCTAGCAGTTAATGGTAGGCAGAATGGGGAAAGATACCGAAATCTTAAGTATGTACGTATCACTGAATTGGAATGGACTGTACTTTGGGATAATAAGCATGTCTAGCAATCTTAGCAATTTAACATTACCTAACCTAAAACAATATATCTTTTCAGTATCTCTTAACAACACACTTTTTTCTTATCCCACATAATTACTGCTTAGAAAAATTCACTCATCATCACATGGTTTGTATCTCAAATTTGCATTACTTACTGTAGTATCGGATTGTGTTCCATATTACTTGGACACATTATCATCACATCAAAATCAATACATTCAAAACCAACTAAGTTAATTTTTTGCCAAACTTTTATACTATACCACAATGCTTTAAAGACTTCATTTCCCTAACTACCAGATCTTTTAAAAAAAAAATATTTGGCAGGGCATGGTAGCTCACATCTGTAATCCCAGCACTTTGGGAGGCTGAGGCGAGAAGATTGCTTGAGGCCAGGAGTTTGAGACTAGCCTGGGCATCATAGCAAGACCCTGTCTCTATTAAAAAATAAATAAAATAAATAAGGTTGATGATTAAATATCCCAAATCAGAAACCTTGGCTACCTCTTGAATATTTTTCTTATTTAATCCCTAAAACTAAATAATTTTAACCCAAGTGTTTTTCAGACTCACAACACTAGAACTGAAACCCTAGCTCAAGTATCTATTATTTGGCTGTTTTATTATTGAAAGTGTTTCCTAAACTACTTCTTATCAATTCATCCTGAACCCTTTTCCCAAAGAGATCCTAAAATACTCTATCTGCTCATGAAATAACAGTGGCTCTCTATTGTTTATTGTGTCAACTTGAAATTCTTCTGATAGGCTTTAAGGTTGTTTCCTCTCCACTACATAACACACATCATCCTGGGAAAATTACTTGACTATTCTATGCCTAAATTTCCTTATGGTAAAATGAGATAATAAAAATATCACACAGGACTCATGTGAACTGAAAAACATTTGTATGGCTAGGTAATTTTACAGTGATAGCTCTGGCACTTTGTAAATACTAAATAAACTGAACTGTTACATATTATGACTTTCTAATATCCATAATCTGGCCCAAACTTTATTATCAAATATTCTCAAAATAAATCCCTAATTCAACCAGGTTGAACTCCTTGTCTCTTCTCTGCTCTCAGAACTCCTCCTTGATATAACTTTTATCTTTACCTATTAATCTTAATCCTATTTATAAAAATTTTGTTTTTCAAAAAGCACTGTTTCTTGAATAAGCCCATCTTCTGTGACTACTCTTGCATTTGTCACACCATTTTATCTTTCAAAATGAAAACATTTTAGAAATTTATCAAAAAGTCCCCAAATCTCATCGCATATAATTACTAGCTATACATTAAAATTTCATCTTTTGAACCACAGTTATTTCCTAAATTATGAAATAATTTTCTGAACTATATTTTCTGGAGATAATGACTAATAATGAAATCATGAAGTATCAAATTTCTTTTGGAACTTCTATTTTTGTTATTGTGTGTATGTATGCATAAATACGAATGTCTCTATTGACATTTTATTGGTATTGTTTTGACAGATAAATATATTAAAAGAAATATTATTCAAGATCATCATCCTTGATAAATAGGTATTTAAAACAAATTTTTACAATCTAAACATACAGAGACTATCTTTACTTTCTAAAAAGACCTTAATCTTTGATATAAGAAATCTATTTATATTTTAAAATTAGGAACTATATTTAAAATATTAAGAAAAACACAATTATTTTACCATCATAAAATAACCTACTACACAATAAAGGATTTGATTGTTTAAACAAATTTAATCAGCTGATTTTTTTATATTTAAAAGATAGTGATATGATGACGATAATAACAACAAATACTTATTTAGCAATTAGTTATACATGCCAGGTACCATTCTAAGTGCTTTGCATGTATTAACCCATTTAGTTTTTAAATAATTCTAGTAGTTCCTTTCATTGCACCTAATATACACATGAAGCAACCAATATAAGGAAAGTCAAAGTTACTGGTCCAAGTAGCTAACTGAGCATCAGAGCTAGGATTCTGAAATGTTATGGTATTATTTGTAATATATTTTTGACATATAAAATGTCTCTCTAATTGCATATTTGAAAAAAATTTAAAAAGTAAAAAATTATTTAAAAATTTAAATTCTTTAAAAATGTAGTTTATACTTTGGGAGGCTGAGGCGGGTGGATCACGAGGTCAGGAGATCGAGACCATCCTGGTCAACATGCTGAAACCCCATCTCTACTAAAAATACAAAAATTAGCTGGGCACGGTGGCGCGTGCCTGTAATCCCAGCTACTCGGGAGGCTGAGGCAGAATTGCCTGAACCCAGGAGGCGGAGGTTGCGGTGAGCCGAGATTGCGCCATTGCACTCCAGCCTGGGTAACAAGAGTGAAACTCCGTCTCAAAAAAAAAAAAATGTGATTTATAAAACATATGAATCCATTTAAAATAAAACTTTCACATACGTTAAGTAAAAGCAGTCTCACATATGAATACTTCTTAAGAACTAAGAGGCACACACAACACCCATTTAAGAAAGACATGGAGAATAAAATACCCTAGAAGGAATATAGTAGAGCTACAGTAATGGCAGGATATAGACTTTGGTATTTGTTACAAGTGCTTCCCAACAGATGAGCTAGAATACACTATAGTGTAGTCAACTAGTAGTCTGGAAGGTGGGTGTCTGGGCACGCATATGATGAGAGAAGAAGCACCCCTCATAACTTCAAAGTGTGATATCCTTGGAAATGGGAGTTATCAGCTGCAGATTTGTGTTCAGGCACAGTTTGACCTGTTTCTTTTCTCACAAGGTTTCTCTTTAGTTTCAATCAACTAATTCACACCTCTAAATTACCAGTGGACACAACTGAGAAACTACTGCCATATACTCTTCAAGAAACTATACCACAAATTTAAAAATACGTAAATATTTTAGGCAATTAAAAACAACTGAGTGGCACACTGAATGATGAGATAGTTACTGCTTGCTTCTTATTTACCCAGGTATATCTCTGTCAGACATGAAAGAAGTAGAACAGCCATATAAGATGTAAACTATACAGAACATAAAAAGCGAACTCATCCCTTCTTCCAAATCTCCTACAAATCTCCTACATCTCTCTCTATGCCCAGTAATAGCTAAAGACATTCCCAACAGCCAGTAATACAAGGTACAATAATCTCAAGCTTTATCCCTTTTCCTTTCTGATTATAGAAATATTCAATCACAAGTAAATTCTTGTTGTAAATTCTTGTAAAGTCTATTTCAGAACTCTCTCTTGAACTCATTTGTCTTAACCCCACTGGGAACAGTTCACATATTTTTTTCTAGATCATTAAATGGCATCATAACTCAATCTCTAAAATCTAGTTTCACACCATCACCAGAAATTTATTTATAAAATACACCTGCTTAAGAAATTTCTAAATGCTTTAGAAAAAGCACACAAGTTCAAATAGCCTCAACAGTGTGTACAGAACTACTAGCTGAAATAAAATGGATAGATGAGAATGAAGTAGCCTAATGCTTATGGATGTTTACCAATTTAAAGTTTATTTAAAGTTGAGAGGATTGCACTAAAAAGAAAAATTATAGGCTGACATTTCATGTAAACTTATATGAAATACAAATCATATATTTTAGCCATTTCTGAAAATTTTATTTAAGACGTTTTTTTTAAATGGCTAATTGAAGTTGCAGAACACATGTTAGGTCAAGGCACAGTTGCTCATGCCTTTAATCCCAGCACTCTGGGAGGCCATGGCAGGCGGATCACGAGGTATGGAGTTCGAGCCTGGCCAACAGAGTGAAATCCTCTCTCTACTAGAAATACAAAAAATAGCCAGGCGTGGTGACGTACACCTGTAGACCCAGATACTCAGGAGGCTGAGGCAGGAGAATCGCTTGAACCTGGGAGGCGGAGGTGGTTGTGAGCCAAGATCACGCCTCTGTACTCCAGCCTGGGCAACAGAGCGAGACTCTGTCTTTAAGAAAAAAAAAAAGAACACATTTTATATTTAATAAGCAAAGAAAGATAATGCTTGGGTAAAATCTAGTGAGTAAATATAAAGTTAAATCTTAAAGAAAGATCATGCCTTGTACACTCGAGCCACATGACTATGGCACTCATATTGGTTTTACAAGGATATATATATTTATAAATGTGTGTGTTTGTATTTACATTTTTAACTCCTTTCAACAGATGAGTACCTACACATAAAATTATAAACTGAACAGGAGCATTAGTTATTGCTAAGCCACTCTAGAGCCACAGAAACACTTAACTGAATTTAAGTAGGTCAGAAATGCAGAAATTCAGAAAAGTTAAGAATAAACGCCATGCCAGAAGCCATCTGTGTCAGTGACAATGTTAGTTCATATACTGTGGACTGGGGAAAAAAATATTAAATGAAATAATTACATTTGCAATACTTTTTTTGTTATTCTGTAACTATATAGTAAACTATTTTCCTATAATACTTAAATAATCAACAATTATTAATAGAAAAGGTCAGAATGCTAAACAGAGGCAAATGTATATTTACTATGTGTGCACAATCTAAAAGAGATACACATATAAGCGTATAAAATAAATACATTTCTGTTAGAAACAGTGGGGCCAAAGGAGAGGATAGAAACACACATTATTATCCCAATTGAGCTGGCTGAGTTTAAATTTGGAACTCTATTCCCAGTACCAGAAAAAAAACACCTAGAATATAAAGAGATAATCAGTAATTCAGAGTACCTTGCTTCATCTTGTTTAGAAAACAAAGAATGCCAATTATTTTTAAGAAAAATAATTAAGTTCATAAGGAAAAGAGTGAAAAACTCATGTTCAATTACCTTTTCTAACTTTTTGGCTTCAATATGTCGAAGTACCTGTTCTCTCCAATCATGAGGAACTTTACTTTTTCCTGGAGGATCTAATAAAGAATGCTCAGAACCAACCCTTGCATTTGGTCTTTTTGAAGGACTAGTCCGTGAATAATTGAAATCACTAACTGACATAGTTCTCTCTGGTATTTCATTAACAGAGGGTCGAGCACTCTGAGGCCTTGATGCATTCGGACCATCAATGCTGTATGTTCGTGCAGAAAGAGGTCTCTGTGATCCTGGCATCACTGGAGGAGTTCTTCCCACTGAGTGGAACTCTCTGTATGATAAATAATCTCCTTCAGGAATCTGGGCCCGCCTTGTAGGACCTGGATCACCAAGATTTACAGAGGCTGTGGAGGACACACTACTTTGTCGCTGAATTGTACTTCGAGTTACTGCAGGAATAAGTCGGTCATTTGGTGAGATGGCCCACATTTCCCCATGTCTGGCTGAGCCAAGTCTCTGATGTAAATGGTATGCAGTATTAGCTCGCACATTGTTATGATTAGAGAAATTCATATTGGCAGAATGTTTAACATAACTTTGATTTTCTGTACTCTCTGATCTAGGAAGGCGCTGAGACGCAAAACTGGCATGATCTATCTGGGGATTTTGTTTGGAGTGCCACAAAGTGTCTTTGACTGCAGCACTGCTACTATATTGGATATTATACTGTGGAGGACCATATAATTGAGGTGTAGATTGTGGGCCAATTGTGGGGCCTCTTATTGTATTTGGCTCTTCGGGATTATGATTTGAATCAAACTTGAAAATTGCTTTTGTTCCTGATATTAAATCAGAAGATGACGAAGAACCGATAAATACCTGCAATGGCTGATCACACAACAATGTGGCAGACTTGCTCCTGACTATATTTTTTCCATCGACAGCAGATGTCATTTTAACTGCTGTATTTGGCTGCTGAGGTCCATTATCACTATGAATGTCATAGATTTTTAGCTCTCCAATTTCCATATTAGTTATGCTATGAGATTTCACAACAGATCCAGCTGGACCACTTTTCTGAGGGGAGAGATCTTCAGTGCTTTTGGAAATACCTAAGTCAACAGAACAATCAGTGTCATGTGGTTCAGTTCTATTAGGAGACTGTGACGTTTCCTCAGAGTGTCCATTTACCTTATTTACGGATTCTAGATTAGGATACCTATTTCCATTTTCCAAGTGCTGAGTTTCCTCTTTAGAATTAATGCTTAAAAAGTCTGTTCCAAGCGTGATAGCCTGTGTTTTTGATCTTTCCATGATATCTGGTTGAAATGTATCATTAGTTATAAGCTTATTAAGATTCATATTGATGTGATCTAATTTGTGAGTGTCATCAGCTGTGGGTGTTGAATCAACACTTTTCTCAATTAGAACTAATTGCTCTTCAATATTCAAATCATATTCAGGTAAGTTAAAATCTTTTTTATCATGAACTTTGAACTTTTCCTCTGTTGAATTGTTTAAAATATCTCCATTTTGTAAAAGGCTGTTAAAATTTTCATCTTCTTGCCTAAAATAAAGATAATTTTATGAAAAACATAATAAAGCCAAGTTTTCTTAGTAACAGGGAATATTAATAAATAGTTAAACTGTATAGGTAGACAAGTTGATAAAAGGCATTTATTATCATATAATTACAAAATATTAGCTTAATAGTTAATATAGCTTTATATTCAGTTGGAGACAAATAATACAATTAAAATTCATAGACAATACCCAAATTAATTTTCATCAATACACTCAGTCTGTCTCAAAATAATTTAAAGGACTTAACTATGAACAAAAGTGGAATTATTAATCTTTGCTACATCTTTTCATGAATGTGCAAAAAACGAAATGCCTGATGGAGGGCAGATATATGAATAGAAAACTAGTAACATGAATAGAGGAGTCATGAGCATAGGACAATTTTACAGTTAATTTTGAAGCTTTACATTATTAACCAAATTAACCATAGTTAACTATAGTTATCACATTCAAATATATAGGTAAGAAAATTGTACAAATCAAAGAAATGAATAATTGTCCAAAGTTTTACATAAAATATGTAAAAGGCATAAAAGATAAATGAAGTCTAATCACTCTTCTAAGTAGCTAGCTGTATTTCGCAAATACTTTTAAATATGTCATTCCAAAATTACAGAAAATACTTTATTTTTACCTGGTGGTATTGAACATATTTGTGTCCTCTTGTATACATATTCAAGTTACGTTTCCACAAAAATTCCCTAATACTGGTTTTCCCATTACAAAAAAGATAACTTTCATTACTAGAAATACAGCACAAAAAGGTGTTGCTGTACTTCTTGCTTAGGCTCTATTATATTAAAAGCAGAATTTAGAAAATACCATACCACTTTCCCAACAATAAATAAATAGAATTTTATTATTCAACAAATTAATATTATAACATCTAGGAGGTTATAAAAATTAGTATTTTAAACAGGAGCTCATAGCCTCAAATTCAGAGAATAGAAAAAAAATGACTGTGATTATAACTATACAACATCTTAACTCATTTTCAGGCATAAAATTCATCTCCCTTTTCCAAAAACACACATTAATAAACAAATTTTACTTAAATATGTCTGAAATTTAAGAACAACTATAAATAATTGTTAAAATTTTCCATACACCAAACTTTTGGTTTAGTAGTAACGCCAGTCTTTCTTTTTTTGAGACAGGATCTCATTCTGTCACCCAGGCTGGAGTGCAGTGGCCTGATCATGGCTTGCTGCAGCCTAAACATCCCGGGCCCAAATTATCCTCCCACCTCAGCTTCCTGAGTAGCTGGGACTACAGGCACATGCCAACATACCTGGTTAATTTTTTTATACATTCATAGTTTCACCATTTGCTTAAGCTGGTCTTGAAGTCCTGAACTCAAGCAGTCTACCCACCTTAGCCTCCCAAAGTGCTAGGATTACACGTGTTCCACCACATCAAGCCAACCCCAATTTTTTTTTTTTTTTTTGAAACAAGGTCTAATTCTATCACCCAGGCTGGAGTGTGGTGGTATGATCAGGGCTCACGACAACTTCCACATCCCACCTCAGCCTCCCAGGTAACTGGTTCTACAGGCATGTGCCACAACATGTGGCTAAGTTTTGTATTTTTTTTGGTAGAGACGGGGTTTCACCATGTTGCCCAGGCTGGTCTAAAACTCCTGGGCTCAAGCCATCCTCCTGTTTCAGCCTCCCGAAGTGCTGGGATTACAGGTTTGAGCCACTGCGTCCAGCCCAGCCAACTCCCATCTTTCTAACAAGCAGAGTTTAGCTGATAGGATAACATGATGGTAGAATGGCAGGGCCTTACTCTGATAACCAAATTTCTTCTTTTCTTTTTTTCTTTCAAACCCATAGCCAACATTACACACAACCAACTTTCTCAAGGGCCTAAACAATAAAACATGTTTTAGACATCAGCTAAATTCCAGGCTACACAAATTAACATTTCTCTCTCTCTCAGTGAGTGTGTCCTACAAAATGAAGCCTAAGTCAAATACACAACACCAGTCAAGAGTATTTGAACTTTCTTTTTTTTGTTGTTTTTTTTGTTTTGTTTTGTTTTGAGATGGAGTTTCGCTCTTATTACCCAGGCTAGAGTGCAATGGCGTGATCTTGGCTCCCCACAACCTCTGCCTCCTGGTTTTAAGCAACTCTCCTGCCTCAGCCTCCTGAGTAGCTGGGACTACAGGCATGCACCACCATGCCCAGCTAATTTTAGTATTTTTAGTAAAGACAGGGTTTCACCATGTTGACCAGGATGGTCTCAATCTCTTGACCTCGTGATCCACCCGCCTCGGCCTCCCAAAGTGCTGGGATTATAGGCGTGAGCCACCACGCCCGGCTGAGTATTTGAACCTTCTAAGGTACAGCCCTCCAAAATGATTCTGCATTTCTAACTATAAAAATGCTCCTTTCAACTTAAATTACCTCAACTATGCTGTTTATGTTGCCATACCTAAAAATTATATAAATATTCAACTTTTTAATCAAGAGACTGAGAATCTAGTCTATCCCATTTAAAAATCTAATTTAGAATGAAAATATATAAAAAGTAAATAGAAAATCAGCAATAAAAATGGGGAAAGAAAACATATTACTCGAACCACTTCTATAAAATTTATTTATGAAATCCTTTATGTTTATGTATTTGTTACCTGCCTTACCACTTCTACTTACTGTACAAATGAAAAATCATAAAAGATGCTCACATACCTGATTTTGGAATTCATATCAATATGAGTTTGTTTCACCGGAGAGCAGAGTGAGGTGTCTTGACTACTATCAGTATTAAGAGAAACTGAATCAGACATCCGAGATGGAGAAGAACAATTGCTATTATTCTGATTGCTATTGTGTGTAACTTCATCGGATAAGGAATCTATTTCCTTTGTATCATCTGAAACAAAACAAATTTAAGATCAATGATAAATTAGCCAAGAATTTTGTGAAATGCTTTTCAGTGATGACAAATGGCAATTATACTGTCCTGATTCTATACGAGGTAATAAATTATATTGATGATAATCAGAGGCACCCTGAAAAGTCAGTCCTACTACAAAGATTAAAGAATTTTTAAATGGTGATATCATTTTTTAAAAGTAACCAATGTTGGAGTTATTAAGAATTCAATTTAGTTACTGACAAGGTGATATTATGTACTGTTTTCTACAGTCAATTTCAGTAAGTATACTTTTCACCCATTTACAATTTTAAAAACTGATAATAAAAACATAGATTATAACCTTTGTAAACTTGTCTGGGCAAGAAATTATTTTATACATAAGGAATTTTTTGCCATCTACTCTGATAATAAGCCGTCAATCCACAAACACACAATCACCAATCAAGAAATTTTCAAAGGTCAGCTCTTTCATTTCTTAATGTTTTAAAAACATTTCATAGACTTGTTATGAATGGTAAACTCTCAATATGTGAGGTGGTTGTGTGTATAGCAATTATATGAACAGAAACAGATAAGTGTTCATATTCTTTAATAGACAGGTAGTATAAAAAGTAGTATTTTTCTCAAAGTAGTGCCAAAAATGTTTTTAACTAACTCAATTCTAGCCAAATCATGGAAACAGTGTATACAGACATATCCATAAAAGATTATATGAATTAAAAATATCTTTGATGTTCTGAGATTTTAGGAGCACAGATAAAGTAGTTTGGATTGTATTTACAGTTAACAGTAGCAAATGGGACTCTGTAACTTTGATCTCAAGGTATTCAGGTTTTGGGTTCTTAACTTTTAAAATATCATTAAAATGGATGGTTAAGTTCTTTCTTAGATACACTCCTTTTCCTCTTCCTTATCATGGGGGCTACTGTGACAATTAGATAATAACACGTAAAATATTCAGCATAGTACCGAAGCAATTAGTGCTCAACCAATTCTAGGTATCATTACTACAAGTATTATGAACCCGAGCTATCTAATGACCACCTTGATAACAAGCATCACTGATGTCATAAAGACAAAAGGCTAAACATTTGAGGAAGATGATGTAAAGATACTCAGGTGCTGGAGGGGAGGGGTGAGGGAATGGACAGATATCCTTCAAGATCCATTTTATCTCTAAGAGTCTGAGATTCTCTTAAATGAAAAATCGCTGTCAGAGGTTGGATAGAGTGTAAAAAAAAAAGTTTTGCGACAGAATGAAAATAATGAGCACCTACATCAGGTACTGTGCTGAAAAATATATTATCTAGCCCATTTGATGCAAACTTCTTCATTAGCTTCATTGTATGTCAAATCAGGACATGGATAAAATTGAGTAATTCAAGGATCACACAGCAGGTAAGTGGCAGAAATGAAGTTACAATCTAGGCTTATCTGTCTGTGAAGTCCATGCCTTTGTAAGTAAATATGCATGAGGGAAAAGAAAAGACTATCAAAGCCTTTCTCTAAAAATATGAGGGAAGGAAACAACCTTTCAGAAAGCCATCTCTAAAAATTTGTTTCTAAAATGTTTCAAATAACATAATATTAAATAAAATTTATTCCAAAAACTTATAAATTTATTCAGGCATTTTCTCTTCTTAGTACTTTCCTTCAACATCTAACCTTTTTTGTTATTACTAAGTGCTACGACTTTTGGCTGGTTAATAGAGGTTTCAATTAATGGTGGTCGCATCTCTGCCATTTTCATCTCTTCATCAGAAGAAAGTTCTTCAGATTCCTAGTCAAAAGGGGAGGGAAGGGGATTAAAAATTAAATTTTTGTTTCTTCAAATAAATATTAAGTCATAAGACTTTAAAGGGATAACAAATATTACAAACACATATTAAACCTTTTCAAGATATGGTAATAAAACACAACCCAACCAGTCCTTCCAAGCCTGTTTGTACTCTTGGCACCTCTATCCTGTTCATGGCATCATTATCCTAACCAAGAACTAGGATGTTGTTTTCTCTATTCCCTTCTTTATACTGACATATTCATGTGATGTTTACAGAACATGAAGTCCAAACTTCTTAGCTTGGCTTTCAAGAGCCTTTGTAATCAGGGCCCAATCTACTCTGCCGATCTTATTTCATAATATTGCCTCTGACTTATTCAGTAAGATAAAACGTCATTTTCCATATGTTCCGCATGCCATTCTTTGGCTCTCATCATTCCTTCTCCATTTCATTCCATTCTCCTGTATCTGAGAATTAAAATCTTTCAAAACACAGTTCGTTTGAACTAGGGGGCGGGGGGGAGGGGGCGTTTGCCCCCTTTTCCTTAAAACAGCCATAAATCTTCTAAATTTCTGTAACACTTAGTACTTTTCTTATACACTCAGCACAGTTTATCCTTTATTGGCATTCATTTAAATCCCTACATTCACTTACTCATTCTGTCACCATACCTTCAAACACAGTGCCTTACACATAGAAATTACACTAAATGAGGCATAAGTTCACTGTGATAAACCTAATAATTTTTTCACAGCTTATGTTACATTAGCTTCAGTGCATACCATAGTGTATTAAGTGACATTAACCATCATTTAAAAAAAAATTATTCCTGTTGTAAATGACAGCTCACAGGATAACCAGGAACAGTTATAGTTGGTGTGCTCTGAATGCATTTTGAATTTTTAGGGATAAAGATGTATTAACTTAAATAGCCAATTGGAGCTAGTATATACTATAGTGAACAACACAGCTATAAGTCAGAACCACTTCAGATATTCATATTAAAAAGTTACAGCTTCACCATTTTACATTACCACCAGCAGTATATGAAAGGAATATAAAATGGTGCATTTTTCATTTATGAAAACACATATCCACACAAAAACCTGTACATAAATATTCATTGCAGCCTTACTCATTACAGCCAAAAAGTGGAAGTACTGCAAATGTATATTAATTGGAAGAATGCACAAGGTATGAATACATACAATGTAATATTATTTGGTCATAAAAATGGACACTGTATTGATATAAGCTATAACACAGATAAACTCGAACACATTATGCTAAGTGAAACAAACCAGGCACAAAAGACCAAATATTGTTTGATTCCACTTAAATGAAATGTCAAGAACAGGCAAATTTATAGTCATATAAAGTAGATTTTTGGTTGCCTAAGGATGAAGGGGATAAAGAATGAGGAGTAACAGTTAAGGAATACAGCATTTCTTTCTGGGGTAAGAAACATGTTGTAAAAGTGATTGTAGTGATGGCTGCACAATTTACTAAATATACTGAAAGCCACTGAATTGAATACTTTATATGAGTAATTTGTATGGTACATGAGTTACATCTCGATAAAGCTGTTTTTTAAAAAAAGTTCTTGCTTTTATTGATCCACTAGACAAACTCCACGTCGAAAAAATCTCATTCAACCAAAAAAACCTTCACATTCAATGATAAATGCATAAATAAGTTAAATAATTGGATATTAGTCTTTTCAAGTTACAGAAATAAAAGCAATTATGTATTTTACAGTAGACTAGACCATTCATATATAATTTGCACAAACATCTGAATACAAAGGGCATAATAATTCTAAGTTTAAAGTGATAAATGAGTGATATTTCTGCAGATATAAAATTCCTCAATGATGAATGCATAAACATATTTTCTATAATCAATATCAGGTTTTCAACAACAATAAAATATAAATTAAACGTTCTTATGATTACTCCAGAATAATCATAATATCATACCTCAAAAACATCATCATGGTTAACAATATGCTTCAAGTTCTCAGAGGCTTTCATATTTGCAGTCACTGGTAAACTCCCAGGACTAATCTCAGCTTCAGGTTCACTGATCTTCTGTATAGAGTTCCCTATCATATACTTTTCTTTTTCATCAACTTTGCTTTTTACTGTAGTTGTACTTTCTGAGGTCTAAGGAAAAGCCAAAGAGTTCATATTCTTTAATTTTTATATTTTTAAAGTTCAGATAAAAATTTGTAAGCAATTTGTCAAATTCCAATTCTGGACAAATCTCAAACAAGAAAACTTTAAACATAGAAACCTGCGGCACTAACAGATAAAATGCTCATTTTGGGAGCACATGGTCCCCAAAGATCCATGAGCCACATTTAAATGTAAAACTCAGCCAAGGTTACTTTCCTCTTAGAAGCTGCAAGGCTTGTAAGTGTGGACAACTGAGTTACTTAGCTCAGCACACTTAATTCCAATAGTTAAAACTGTTTTCTGCTCATTGTGGACTGTATAGTAACTCTAATGACATGGTAAAACTTTTGTTTCTGTGATACAGTATGTGTGTATGTGGCAAAGTCCTAAAAGTATATACCATTCAGGGATTTGTGAAAGTTTCTGAAATATCCCAAAGAAATGCCAAATGTCTATTATTGCAATTACATTTAAAAAGAGAATGGGATAAAATGGACAAATATTACCAGAGGGAAAAAATTTCATAATAATGATTTTTCTGACATTCATTAGCTTCTTTGTTCAATTTTTTTAAAGGCTATGCTGATACTACCCTGCCAACTGGACATTCTATAGCCAGAGAGGGGTAATGACAGTAATCAGAGAGTTCACTGCTTATTATAGTTTCCCAGTTCAGGTAGCTGAGAACAAACCATAAATTTGTAAGTGCAGTCATGTGGCACTTAACGGTGACATGTTCTGAGAAATTTGTTGGGTAATTTTTTTCATTCTGTGAACATCATGGAGTTTACTTACATAAACCCACACATTATAGCTTACTACATATATAGCCTAAATAATATAGCCTATGGCCTCTAGGCTACAAACAAACCTGTATAATATGTTACTATACCTAACACTGCAGGCAATTCTAACATAATAAAAAGTTATTTGTATATGCAACGGTATATGAATATAGAAATGTGTGTTATGATGTCATTAGACTATGGGATTTTTTTCAGCTCCATTATACTTTTCTTCTTTTTTTGAAACAGGGTCTCATTCTGTCGCCCATGCTGGAGAAGTGTGACATGATCATAGCTCACTGCAGTCTTGAACTCCTAGGTCAAGGGAGCCTCCGACCTCACGTCTTCCAAGAAGCTAGGTAGGACTACAAGCCCACGCCCAGCTAATTTTTTTTTTTTTTTTTTTTTTTTTTAAGATGGAGTTTCGCTTTTGTTACCCAGGCTGGAGTACAATGGCACAATCTCAGCTCACTGCAACCTCCACCTCCTGTTCAAGCAATTCTCCTGCCTCAGCTTCCCGAGTAGCTAGGACAACAGGCACACACCACCAAGCCCAGCTAATTTTTTTTAACCTTTTTGTAGAAACAGTCTCGCTATGTTCCCTAGGCTGGTCTCAAACTCCTGGGTATAACTGACAGTCACACATTGGCCTCCCAAAGTGCTGAGATTACAGTTGTAAGTCACCATGGCCAGCCATCTACCTTATAATCTCTAGTCGATATGGGGTTTCACCATGTTGGCCAGGCTGATCTCAAACTCCTGACCTCAAGTGATCTGCCCAACTTGGTCTCCCAAAGTGCTGGGATTACAGGTGTGAGCAACCACGCCCAGCCCCTCATACTCTTACGGGACCACCATCATACGTATGTGAGTGTGTCAACCAAAATATCATTCTGTGGTGCACGACTCCACATTTAGAGTACATGAAAAGGGTCACTATATCAAATCTCATTTTAAAATAACTTGAAATAGGCTTTAGTTAATCTGTTTAAATTTTCTAACCTTCACATCTCCATCTTTATTTATATCTTGTTGATCTTCGTGTGGTTTCACATCTTTTCCAGAGTCTTCACTGGTCTCTTCATCTTTTAATCTATGTACAATGGTTTGAACAGTTTTGACCATATTCTTAAGCTCATCTGGGTATGGTGTTGGATATCTTTTTAAATTTCCCTCCTAGAGAAACAAAATAAGTGAAATATGAAGTACAAATATTTCTAGTGTCAATCTCAAAAAAATTTTAATCTATAATCCATCTGAATTACATTAGACATCAAGCTCATAGGGATAACTGTGAAGACAAATGATAGGCTTTAAGGCCATTTTAAGCTTGATAAAAATATGGTTTTATAACAAAATAATAAGACTTCACAGTAAATTTCAACGTTTTAAAAATTTCATCAGACTCAAATATTTCCATTTAGAGATATATAGTATGAATATTGCCAAAAATTGTGTCACTTAGCTTTGAAATAGATACATATTTTTCAGCTAGATATTAATCTATGCACAGATAAAACTGAGAGATTCATATATTTATGTCTCACATGCCAAGAGCCATATTCTTCCAAGGTCAACCTGTCGTTTTCTAAGATTCAGCTGGTTTGTATAAGGGGCAAATAATTACATTCATTAAGTAACTCAAAAATATGTATTTACTATTCATATCACTGTGACATGTTTTCAATTCCATAAAGAAACAAAATGTTCATAACAAAGAGTTCTTTATCTCTAGGATTTATATAAGTAATTCACTGAAGAAAGGGAAAGGGGAAAAAATAATCATTACAAATATGATGGAGGGTGAGTCAACTAAACTGAAGTTAAACATTAGGGGCACTAATTTGAAATAAAGTCTTGGTTAATTTCTCTAGCCTATAATAATGTTTTCCTCTTATATTTATATATACTATGAAATTTAGCTTTAAATCACAATTTTAATATTTTTCCCAAATTCTTTCGTGTGTGAAATATTTGAAAGCAGTAACACTTCAAGTGCCTGAGGACAAGGAATAAATCCAATAGTTTTTTTATATCCCCAAACATCATAATGAAGTACCAACTTAAATATTAACAGACTTGATTCAAATCTGAAAGAATAAAAAACAGACTCACCCTGGGAGGTGCCTCCCTTTCATCTTTGTCTTCATCACATTCAAATGCAACTTGAGCCCGCTGTTTCCTCTGTTCCTCCCACAATGAAGGGTTAAAACTTTCATTATCTGATATAAACATAACTAGAGAAAAGTAAGGAACAAACAAAAACCTCTATATTTTACTGTAATTATGGAAATCTATCACTTGCTCATGATTTCTGTATGAGTTATGTTCATTAGTTAAGAGCAGTCAATGCAAGAAATTCGAAATCCTAATGAGTAGGCTGTGATTTTTTACAATGTGAATGTAAGATTTTTTTACAGTGTCAACCACATATCCTTTCTTCCCTGAAGCTGATTCATCTTGTTTTCTTACTAGAAGCATTCCTGAAGAGAATCTACCCATTAAAACACCACAGACATACGGTTTTGTACAGTGCTCTAAAAGGTGCTATGGTTGAAATGCAATTTCATCACTGTATTAAACATTATGTGGATTATATACTAAGTAAAGTTCTTACAATATATTTTCTATATCAAAATGTAAAGAAAATGGAAATTTTAAGGTAAACTCAACACTTATATATTCTATCAGATATACAAGGCGAACATCCCTAAACCAAAAATAAAAAATGCAAAAAACTCTAATAAGCACTTCCTTCGAGCATTGTGTCAGCATTCTAAAAGGTCTGGATTTTGCTTTGAATTTGGGGTTTTGGGATTAGGAATATCCAACTAGTATGAATTCTGCAAATATTCCAAAATCCAAAAAAACTCAAAACCTGAAACATTTCTGGTCTCAAGCATTTTGGATAAGAGATATTCAACCTGTAATATTAAAAGTAAAGATTTAACAACTCTCAGTTTTTTGTTATTGTTAGGCAACTAAAAAAATATATAAGGCTTAAAAATTAATTCATTCAACTATTATATATCACTCCATAGAAGTCATACAATATAAAATAAAATTACAACTTTTTTGCCCATTAAAAGAAAATTACTATCCCCTACTTAAACCAATTTGAATTATTTCTGCAAAAATAACAAAATACAAAAACTTCTAGTTATCATTTTTATTAAGCCTTTATTTAGGGCTTAACTTTAAAATCTCACATCTAAACTAAGGATGCCATGAAACCAAATCTTAGCAAAGGGAATGAAATTTTTTTATTTAGCCTTTTGTTTTCATTACTCCAAGATTTTTTTTCCTTATAATTGCTTAACATGTACTCAATGAAGTAGTGTATTTGTTTTTGTTCAAAACAAATGTGGAATGTGATTCAAATTCCTATTGACATACTTTTGTGGGATCATTGGAAAGGCAAGGATGGACAGCTCAGCAGTTTCCAACAAAGTCTATTTTTGAATTCATATAATTCCTTCCACTCTCTCCCTTATTTCAGGTAGTAATTTCAATCACCAGCTTGGCCCAGAGATTCCAATGACCGTTAGTTTATGTCTAAAGCAATTTTACACCAGAATTTATTCGGAACCCTGAAGTAAGCAACTTTTACCATGCCTCTCATTCATGTCAACTCTGGTCACTTACAACTTTCTACTCTTTAGTATAAATCTCACATCTTTGAAGATTCAGGACATCAGGTAATATCACTTTATAGCCACTCTAGAGGCTACTCAAACTGATTACCCAGGTATAGACTGACTCTAGTATTTGGCTACACATACTAATCTCCTGAATGATGTCAATGTGGGAATGATAAACGCACCACCCCAAGACCCTAACTTTGTAATTCCTTGATGTCCTCAATCCCAATGTCCATATGCACAACGGTCAAATGATTCACAACCATAGTCATACTCAGGACCTTGGCTTCCATAAAATTTTTCCACCTCTTTGAACATTACACCTGTTCTTCCAGATCACTCAATTCCTTATTGTTGCTGGTAAACTTTCAGTTCCTTAACTACCTTTCTTTTGCTCCTTGTAAAATCACTCTAGGTGTTACTTCCTTCTCTATTCAGCTTAGATTTTATGATACATTAATCACTACCACTTCCCTGAAATGCCCTTACCCCAACTTCCAGAGGAAAATATCTTTCACTTCACTGTAAAAGAAATGCAATAAAAACCCTCAGACTAATATCCTGCTTTCTTAGATATGAATGTATTGTTATATGAAAACATACTTCCCTTTCTCTCTGATTAAGACTGATTCCTCTGTCTAAGCCCAAGATCTCATTCCTACTCTTGCACATTTATTGATCACTATCTACCTTTACAATCTTTCTTTTCCTTCTTGTTTTTTTTTTTAATCTTCCCAACTTTAGAATCTTGAAAGTAAGAATATTTGTCTTTACTTAGTTCTAACACAATACCTGTCACAAAGGTACGATGAAAAGTAAGTATGAACAGTGTCTACTTCTTTCAAACTGTTATAAAACCCAAACCCAGTAAGATAATATTTTTTGATTCATCTATTTCTTAGAGGCATTGGGATAAACCAAAAACCCTTTTTTATAGTTGAAAGAAAATTCATTCACCTTGTTTAGTACTCTGCTTATAGTATCCACGAAATACTTTAAGTGGCACATGAACTCTAAGAGGACCTAGAATATCATAATTGATACTGTATTTCAAACTTTTCTATTAGAAACTCTTCCATTCTAAAACAAATCTCAAAATCAAAACTTAGTAGTGGCAAGATTTTGTTACTTCTATTCTTCTTATCAAAACTAAATGTTTTATCTGAATTGTGATCTCTTTTTAAATTAATGAGGAAGGGAATAAATTACAATGATAGAATAGAAAAAAGTGGCAAGGTAGATTTCAATCATTAAAGTAGAAAACAGTAAAAGAAGAGATCAAGGCATGAATATACCTATGATTCAAGACAGTTTAGAGGCAGAATGAGTAAACATTTTCTATAAAAGGTCAGATAAATATTTTAAGCTTTGTGAGAGATAACCAATCACAATAGTATCTATTTTGAAGGATTATTGTAAAGATGAGAAGTTGTGAATATCTAAAGTGCTTAGCATTGTGTCTGACTCAAACTGGCTATTATTCTTACACCGCTATAGCAGGTTTAGCTTTGAAACACTGAAATAGAATAAAAACACACCTAACTTGTATTCCAGAACTAGTTCTAAACTATTAGAAAACTCTTTACCTTCTATAGGATAACTATTTCTTGTTCTCTGCTAGAAGAAATAAAAGACTTGCTTTTATAAGTTATTATTTCATGGGTATACCTAATGACTTTTATTTAGATGTACCAAAACCTATTCAGCTTCCTAATCAAATGAGAAGATTTGTGAGATATCAAATGTAAAAAGCTTCATTTATGGGAGGTTCTGTAGTTAAAGCTTTGAGAATAGGTTTACAAATAACCTCTCTTCCATGTATTTAAATTCACCCATAACCTCCAAGTTTAGCAGTATGATAAAATATGAAAGTGTGTTTCCATAACAAAATACAGTATACTTAATATTAAGCTGTCAATATGATTAATGTTTTATGTGAACAATAATTTCATGAATTAGAAATTAAGAAGTTAAAAACAGAGGTGCAAACTCTGCTTATGTTGATACTGTATTTCAAACTTTTCTATTAGAAAAGTAAGCAATACCATGTGGGGCATTACAGCAAATACTCGAATGCATCAATAGCTAAGTTTTTTTGTCTTATTCCCTGACTTACGTCTCAATTTCCTACTTTTCCTTGTCTCTGAAGATGATTTCTGGAAAATAGGAAGTAAAGGTAGGCATCTTCTAAATAATGTTATAGTCAGCTATGTGATATACTCAGATAATTGTTCTTTTTACATAAAAGGACAGAATAGTAGCATAAGTATCTCTTATCTGAAATGCTTGGGACCAGAGTATTTTGCAGTTAATGAATGTGGCTGTGCTCCAAAGGAACTATTGTCATCGTTTCAAGATAAGCAAACCGAAGTTCAAAAACTTATTTGACTTGCCCATGGTATAGTTTATAAATTAAGACTGATGATTGATTTACATTTTTTCTTCAGTGTTTCCATGTGCTAAGAATTAATTTATAAATAATTTCAAATCACAGAGATTTTCAGAAGATACATAAGACACATTAAAAAAAAGATACATAAAAACTAGTCAGAAAGAAGATACATAAAAACTAGTTACTTTAACACAACACACACACACACACACACACACACACACACACACACACACAGTACAACATATATTAGAAACAATTTGCTCCTTAGTCTAAAAGGTCGTCATAATCTATAAAAAACATCTGTGCCCAGGAGAAAAAAGTATATTCCACTTTGTTGGGCAAAATAAAGAAAAGAATTTAGGAATAGCATTTATACTCAGAGTTTTACAGATTATCCTGATTCAGTGTGTAGATCCAAGTGTAGTATTAAGTTCACAAGTGAAGAAAATATTTCCTGCTTTAAAGAATTCTAATCACATAATACTTGTGTATTCCTAGCATTTAGCTAAATGTTTTTAAGTTATCAATTTTAACACTGTGATTTAATTTAAAGGAATCATTTAAGGAAGCATATGCTACAACTTACACCTCTAAATTTAACTGTCTATACCCCTGAAATAGTGCCCTATTTTTCCATTACTTTAAAATAAACTTTTTTGATCAATTCCCTAAAGTCCCATCAAACTAGTAAAAGTCTTTCAGACTTAAAATTCACTTTACACCTTTTAAATTAGTATTTGTTTTTAAAAAATAAACAGATTCTGAAATTCCTACCATCCTCAGTCCTTGGCTGTTGAGGGAACATGTAGTTAGTAAGCACCATTTTCTGGGTCTCTGAATCAGTTTCTTTTTGAAGAGGTATCAGGGGTTTGGACTAGAGAAAGAAAATAAATATTTAATTTTCATTAACCCTAAAGCAAACACATATTCAGCAATTCCTCTGCACAAGTACACATCACTTTTTCTATAAAGTATCAATGGGCAGGTTACAAACAATAACACTTTAGGCACTGATTTGAAACCTTATTAAAATTCAAAAAATAGAATTTAGTTTTTAGTATAAAGCAAGTTCATACTATACAGCAATTATTATTGAAATATCAAGTTTTAAAAGATTTCATATAACAAATGTATTCACAGTCCAATAATTACTATCATAGTGATATATTTAATAAAGTTGTAAACTAAGCCTTTCCATTGTTTGCCCTATCTAGTATTCCCTGTCACTAAGATGCTTTTGGAAAAAATTATTTGGAAGGGTTAACCTGGTTATCTAAATGTTTGTTCTAACCAGCAGCTGAAAAGAGAATGATGAAAACCATAAACTGCTTTTCTCTCTTCCTCTTGTGTCTCCTGTCTACAGTAATGATACCAGTAAGTTACTCAGTGGCAGAGCCTAAAGGAAATTTGGACCTTCTTTTCTCTTTTTTGAGATGGAGTCTTGCTCTGTTGTCCAGGCTGGAGTGCAGTGGCACGATTTTGGCTCACCACAACCTCTGCCTCCTAGGTTCAGGTGATTCTCCTGCCTCAGCCTCCCGAGTAGCTGGGACTACAGGCGCATGTCACCATGCCTGGCTAATTTCTGTATTTTTAGTAGAGACAGGGTTTCACTATGTTGGCCAGGCTGGTCTCGAACTCCTCACCTCCTGATCTGCCCACCTTGGCCTCCCAAAGTATGGACCTTCTTTTTTCTTAGGATTTCTTTCCTTAACTACTTAACAAATGTTATCCACCTATTTTTTAATGCAACGAATTCTTTTTGGTATTCACCTAAATCCTACCAATAAAAGCCTTGGCTGACTCCAGACAGGCAGAGAACTACCCAATTCTCCCCTCACATGCCACCCTATTACTTAAATCTTTGCACTGACTTTTGTGAAAACCTTCCATCTACTTAATTCCATCCTCTAATCTTACTCCCATTCAAACATTCCCCTCTGTTCCTCAACAAACAAAAACTGCCCTACATTTCAAATTCCTGAACGTTTTCCTTGACTTCCTCTGATAATAGAAACGGTAGCTCTATTCCCTTCCCAAAGACAGTGCTTCCCTTAAGCCTCAAAAATAGGTGTTTTATTCTCTCCTACCTCATCCACCCCAAGTCAGGAGGTGAGAGTAGCACTTACAATGCTGTGACATCATTCTGCCCCATCCTCAAATTTAAACTCCTGTTCCTTTGAGGAATATAACCAGTACCTTCCACAGTCAATCTCCTTTCATATTATCCACTGGCCTCCTGGTGGTATTCATCTATTCCTGGCTCTTTTACACCAAATCTTTCCAAAGTCATGTTAGAAAACACAGATGACATTTCCATACCTTTCACTTCTTAGTAGATGAAGAATGTGTCAGAAAAAAAAAAACAAGTCCCCTTAGATGAGTGTATAAAAATTATCTGGGAGGCTTTTAAAAGCTCAATGCCCTGAAAATCTTCTAAAACTGTTATAATTGTTGCACAACTCTATGACTATACTAAAAACCACTGAATTGTATCCTTTAAAAAGGGTTCACTGTATGGTGTGTGAATTACACGTCAACACGGTATAATAAGAAAACTAGTCACTTGTTATATATGCGGCACAAAGACAGAAAAAGGAATTGAAACAGTGTATCTGGACTCTCAGTTCCCTGAACATCTAACTTCAGCAATTTCTAATCCTATTTCATTTCAGATATTCTATTCCTTTGCCGTAATTTCTAAAATATTACCTGTAAATATTCTTGTCTGAAATATAAAAATCACTCACTCAACGAATATTTACGAAGAGCCTTTTATATTGCAAAGCACTAAGACAGGTCCTGTGTACATATTGACTTTGTAGAGTTTATAAGAGTATATGAGAGGAAAAATACAGGTAACAAAATAGGCAATTGCCATTGTAATTACAGGGTAGACAGGGTAAAGAGTGCTAAGAGAACATTAGGAGCCACAATATTGAATGATTAGCAAAGTCTAAGGTAAGAAGCCAGGTAAGAAAGAGAAGGCAGAATGTCCCAAGAAAGAACTGATTTGGAGAAATAAGAATGAAGGTGTATGGGGTAGAGATGAAGCCACAGAATGAGAAGGCTCTTCAGGCATATGATATAAAGAAAAAAGAAACAATGAAAAGGTTTTAAGTAGGTTAGAGCTGGGATCAGATTAAATATCACTCAAATTACAATGCCTTGTTATATTACCCAAGCAGGTCTCAAACTCCTGGCTTCAAAGCAAGCCTCCTGCCTTGATTTCCCAAAGTGCTAGGATTACAGGTGTGAGTCACCATGCCTTGCCTGATTACTTATAATTTTTTAGTAGCCACATATTTTAAAATGGCAAAAAAAGATGAAATTTTGATAATGCATTTAACCTTACATATTCAAAATATCATTTTAACATGCAATAAAAAATATCAATGTGATCATATATATTTTCTGTTCAGTTTAAGGTAACAGATACCAGTGTATATCTTACACTCACACCAAATCTCAGTTTGGACTAGTGGCTAGGTCTAAGTGAAAGATTATGGTGAACAGTATTTAAAAGAAGTAGCAGTAGGGATAAAGCAGAATATACACATACCCAAGGATGTTTAAGATTCAATAGTGCTTGTCTATGAAGTACAGGAAAAAACAGTAGTTAAGAGTTGCATTTCAAGGTCTCCGCCTCCATCAGGTATTATTTACCAAGCTAAAGTAACTGGGGAGTGTGGGAGAAATATATTTGGGGCAGAAGATGGTATACTCAATTTTGGGCTCGTTGAATTTGAGACATTTAGGTGGCAATGTTAAGTAAGAATTGAGGTATATGAATGTGAGGCTCTGCATAAGAACTCGTCTGAAGACACTGTTAGGAATAATGAGGATACAGATAGAAATTTCAGGAGAAAGTATGAAGAAATTAAAACAGAGCCTAGGATACCATGAGGAGCAAAAACATATAAGGCAAAGGCAGAAGAAATATGTCGGAGAAGGAGCCTGAGGAGCAGTCAGGCAAAAGGATAACCAGCCGAGTATGGTAACCCACATAACATGCAGCCCTCCCACTCCACTGCTCTCATAGTACTTGCTGATCACCCTCACCAAGACTACTATTCCCTTGACCTTTTGACATTCTTCCTACCATTTGCTCCTGTCTTTGATTCCCCTTTTGCACCACACCATATCTTATTTAAACTACTTTCTTGGCCATAAACCAAGACCTCCTTGCTGCATTATTCTTTTCTTGCACCTGGCTTGGCAAAACTGCAGCCCAGAATCCTTCCAATTGTGTGCTTTCTCTTTATCACACAGCTGAGCAAATTAGTATCACCACAAACTTGTGCAGTAATTATTAATTTGTACTCATATTTGTGTACTGATACTAATAATACTTCATCTGGGCTCTACATGTTATCTGAAAATCCAATATGGCACCACTGCACTCCAGCCTGGGCAACAGAACAAGACTCTACCTCAAAAAAAAAAAAGAAAAAGAAAAAGAAAAACAGCTATGAGTATGGAAAATGCTATATTCTAAGAGTATCAAATGTATACTATTTGCTCTCCCTTTCACAAACTTCAGACCCAAGCTCCCTCCAACAGGTTAAGAATTCCTGTCATAGCTTTTCCATCAATTCCCACCCATTATCCAACTGCTTCTCATATTCTTCGTTGCTGTTGTTGAAACAGTCTCGCTCTGTCATCCAGGCTGGACTGCAGTGGTATGATGTGCTCACTGCCACCTCCATATCCCAGGTTCCAGCAATTCTCCTGTCTCAGCCTCCTAAGTAGCTGGGACTACAGGTGCATGCCACCATGCCCGGCTAATTTTTGTACTTTTAGTAGAGATGGGGTTTCTCCATATTGGTCAGGCTGGTCTTGAACTGTGGACCTCAAGTGATCCACCGGCCTTGGCCTCCCATAGTGCTGGATTACAGGCATGAGCCACTGCACCCAGCCCTCATATTCCTGATATTCTTAGTCTTACTTAACACACAGCTTCTTTCCAACAACCTATAAACATGTTCTCCAATATTAAAGGATCCCTGAGCTTTTCCTGCTATCAATTTCTTTATGTTCCATTCCATTTCCTTCTCATCCAATCTTCTTAAATAATCAACATTCCATTTTATCATCAATTTATTCCTTAAACTCTTTCAACCTGGGTTTTGACATATACCTCTATAATTACTTTAGCTAGTCAATTTAAATTGGCAAGTATAAGTTGCCAAATAAAATGAATATTTTTCAGATTAAATCAGAACTGACTTCTCAACAGCATTTATTCCATTAACAACTTCTTCCTTCAAACCAGTTTCTTCACTCTTGAGACCATCATTATCCAATACTCCTACTTCTATAGCTACTCTCTTTACACCTCTTAATCTACTGCCATTTATTTATTTATTTGTTTGTTTGGCGGCGTTTCGCTCGTTACCCAGGCTGGAGTGCAATGGCGCGATCTCGGCTCACCACAACCTCCGCCTCCTGGGTTCAGGCAATTCTCCTGCCTCAGCCTCCTGAGTAGCTTGGATTACAGGCATGCGCCACCGTGCCCAGCTAATTTTTGTATTTTTAGTAGAGACAGGGTTTCACCATGCTGACCGGGATGGTCTCGATCTCTTGACCTCATGATCCACCCGCCTCGGCCTCCCAAAGTGCTGGGATTACAGGCTTGAGCCACCGTGCCCGGCCTATCTACTGCCATTTAAATGAATCCTCAGGATTCATCATCACTAACATTTAAAAAATTATATAATTCCTTTGGAGAAGCTATGAAACCATTCCCTTAAAAAAGTTAATTAAAATCATGGGCTAAACAAAAATGTGTATTTCTTCTTGTGCCACAAATCTTTTAAAATAAAGTGAATATGTTTTTACAAATAAGCACAAAGAATAAACCTATAATAGTACTGA